CAAAGGCAAAACATGTCTGCTCTCACTGAAAGCTAGATCAAGAATCATCCTGACCCAAGCGTCTCTCCCGGAGAAAACAGGAGAAGATTCATCTGCCCCAGGTGGTGATATGCCCAAAGAACTTTTGGCCATAATTACCAATAAATCTCTCACCTTTGATTATAGATTCAAAACTATAATGTCCCCAAGAGAATCAGGATATTTGGAGTACTAAACTCGACCCAAAGACCTATATTAAAAAAAAGATGGACTATATACCTATAGAGGCAGGTCCATTTTTTAAACTTAGCCTCATCTGCATAGACGTGACAGGATCTAGACGAGCCTAAGATGAAAGGGGTGCAGGCTGTTACGTGAAAGTGACACTGACCATCTACTAGTTGTAACAAGAAGCCAAAGAAACAAATCTATCCCTAAGTTGAATGTTTAAAAAACTAAAGACCCTGAAAAGTGTTTTGAGTTTTAACAACGGTTCAAAGATGCTTTTACCAATTGTTATGATGTATTTGTGTTTCACTTTATCCCAATGAAGTGCTTCTCTTTACATTTTCTGTAATAAGTATTTTTCTCTGCAATATACTGTGTTTGTGATATCTAACATTTGCCATTCCCTCAGGATCAAGGGCCAAGGCAACAGGTATGAGTGATTATGTTTTAAGAAATATTTTATAAATTCATGAATTGCAATGATATTCTCTCTCTCTCACACTATTTCCTATTTCTGTATAAAACCGTAACCAATGCATATTATTTAGGTGTGATGAAATGGTAAATAGGTCATTCTCTTATTCTGCAACAGAATAAATTCAAAACTTTTATGTAATTAGTGTGAGACTGAGCCTCGAAAGGCAGGGGGTAAGAAGTATTGGTGTTGTGGGTAGTGGTTTTCCCCCTTACTTCACCCTAGGTCTGTTAAAGGAAGGAGCATCCATTGCGGTGTCAGCCTCTTGACCTAGTATAACCTCTCTTACCCCAAGACCAATGTGCGTGGCGAAGAGTCACAGCCTCCATGAGGTAGCCCTGGTAACTGGGGGTGCGAATCCTCAAGTAAAACGCAATGGATCTAGAGGAGCAAACCTCGATAATAAACCCGGTGCACCACATTGTACTGTCCTCTGTGGAAGGGAAGTAGCCGGAGGCATGCTGAACAGTCTTAGGAGTGGAAACAAGCATGCTAACCCCCGCCCCTCCCCCCCTTTCCCCGAATACCGGAGACTATCGTAAAGGCACAGGGACTCAGGATATGATGATCCAGTTGCCCTAACTACTCATGCTTAGGCCATGCTTAGAGCCATGAAGAGCTCAGTGAAACCAGCAGGCAATCTGGTGGCGGGGAATGAGCACACTGTGAGACCCACCTTAACTACGTGTTAAAGGGGAAGGCAGAAACACAACCCATATTTCCTTTAGAACTGGTACAGGGCATTTCTGGCTGCTGCCCGGGGATGTAGGTAATCCAGCACCACAATGCCATAAATATGAAAAAGTCAAGAACAACAAATAATTAGTGTCAATAGAAAACAAACTATAAAAAAAAAAAAAAAAAGAATAGCTCACTTTATCTGTCTGTTATCTCTGTATATTTGGTAAGGTAACAAAATTGTGAAACAGTGTAGTTATATCTTAAAATGTTTGTACCTCATTCAATGATTCTGTTGACCATCTTTAGAGCACCTGATGCATTATCTGAAGGAACCTAAAATGGAAAATAGGTGGAATTACTGAAAAAAAAAAAAAGCCCAATTTGAATAACTGTAATCATTGCAATGCTTATACTATTCTATTGTAAAAAAAAATAATTCAAAATGATTGGACAAAAATAAATGAAACAGTTATCCTCCTTATAACGATCCAAAATATCAAGGCCGAAAATATACCCTAAAAGGGCCTCAGTCACATGTCAATTGCGGACTTCCAGTGACTTAAAATTGCACACTTCCATCACCACCGAGAGTATCTCCCACACCACTATGGGCGGCGTTAACTGGCGCTAAACTAGATGGCTGGGACTCACGAGCAGCAACTACTGCATCTCCTGCAGCTTCCTTCATTTTATCTGCTCGTGAGTCCCAGCCAACTAGTTAAGCCCCAATCCACGCCATGCGTAGCGGCGTGGGAGACACTCTCGGCAGTGGCGGTATAGTCCCAAGAAGTCTGCAATTCAGCGGTGGTGGTATAGTCCCATGAAGT